CGGCGTGTGCTGGGGAGTCCTGCGGGGAGGGAGACGGGTGAGGGCAGGGTGCCCCGGGGGACTCTGGGAACCCCGACGGCACGGCCCCATGTGCCACGTGCCCCCGGCAGGGGCTGGCCAGGCTTTACCCACCTGTCTGCTCGGCGGCCCTCGTGGGACATGGGGTGCGTGCCCGGTTTGCTGTTGGTCAGCGCTTCCCAGATGGTGACCTGCAACGGTGAGCATGCAGCAGCGCATTAACCCCTTGCTGGCCTCTGCGCTGCCTGCCAAACGGTGCCGCGGGGTTGGGGGCACGGCACGGCACCCACCTGGTCATACTCGCTGCCGGCCTCGAGCAGGCTCTGCTGGATGGGGGACTGCAGCAGGTCATCGTCGTCCTCCCGTGCAGTGTCAGGGTGGCTGCCCACCACGCTGTACCCCCGCGGCACCTCGAACAGCGACGGGTCCATCTCGCACGCCCGGCACGAGGCTGCGGGGCCGGGCATATGCATCATGGGGGAGGCTGGGGGGTGCCACGTGGACTACCCACCCCAGCACACCCTCCTCTGGCTCGTGCCCAGCTCCCAGCACGAATGGGGGCTAGGTTGGTTCCCGCCGCTGCACCACACTGGCTGCTGGGCCAGGCGAGCCCCATGCCAACCTTCCCGATAGGCTAGGGAAATGGGAGGGCTCAGCCAGGGGTGCCAGTAGGGCCCTCCCCCCAGCCGAGCCTGCAGACAGTCCCTGGGGCCCGGGGTCTCTGCCGGGGTCGCGCTGCCCCCGGCCCGTACTCAGGGAGCTGGAGCTGCTGACGCTGGAGGAGTTGCTGCTGGGGGACGGGGCCTCGCTGCTGGGGCTGTGGCGCAGGGAGCTCACGGGCTCGTCGCAGCCGTTGAGGTTCCCGAAGGTGATGCGGGCGTTGAGGATGTGGAAGATGGGGATTTCTGTGGGGCACAGAGCTGTGAGGACCCGGGGGCAGCCAGGGGCACGCGGCCGCCCCACGGCGTGGGCTGCGGGACCGGGGTGGCAGCCTCAAGCCTCACCGATCTTGATGGGGAAGCCGGGCGGCAGGCGGAGCGTGATGAAGTCGCGGAGCTTGGCGAAGAGCGCGTTGCTGATGGCCATGAGGTCGATGATGGGCGCCACTTGCTCGCCCAGGGACAGCGGGTGGTCCTCGCACAGCCACAGCTTGGCCTTGAACCTGCGGGAGACACGCGGCTGGAGCCAGGGCAGGGCAGGCACTGCCCGTGGCGGGCGAGGCCTGCCCCCGTGCCCCACCACCACCGGCCTCCTTACTTCTGCGTCTTGGTGGTGAGCTCCATGGGCCGCCCCATGTCGCGGTTGCCCAGCTCGAAGCTGGGGTTGAAGTACTCCTCGGGCGTGATGGCCGTGGGGTTGGTGTGGCTCAGGGTCTGCGTGATCAGCGTCTGCACGGGGCCGACCCGCGTTAGGCCGGGGGCAGGGGCAGGGGCAGGCGGGCCAGCCGGCGCCCACCCGGGTACTCACCCCGTTGTTGTGGCCCACGTGCTGCTCCGCGATGCCCAGGAAGGATTGCAGCGGCGTCTTGCTGCCTGCGGGACACGAGGCAGCTGGCGGCTCAGCCGGCACGGGCAGGCGGGAGGGAGGGGACCCCTCTCGGATGCCGGAGCAGGCATTACCTTTGCTCTTGCCCTTGTGCTGGTCAGAGAGGTGCTCCGTCCGCGTCCGCGTGATCAGCTCCACGTTGGACGCACCGTAGACCTGGGCGAGGAGAGCGAGTGGCGGAGGCTGCTGCTGCCCCTGCACCCTGGGACGTCACCCTGGCAGCCGTGCCGTGCCGTGCCGTGCCGTGCCGCCCCGGGAGCTTCACCGCCTGGGGTGCCGCAGCTCAGTCTGCACCACAGCAGCTCGGCGCCAGCCGGGCGCGGGACACAGCTGCCGGCGGAGCTCGGGCACCTGGAAGGACCGGCCCCGGCCCCGGCCCCAGTGCTGCTGCCCCAGCGCCCGGCCTCCGTGAGTCTGCAGCCAGCTCCCCTGGCGCTGCCCCTCACCTTGGCCTCATAGCCGTTCACCGTCTCCGTCTTCTCGCTCCTCCAGCCCAGGATGCCCGTCTTGTTCCTGATGGTGAGATGAGGCGGCTGTGAGCCGTGGCCTGGCCCTGCCCCAGGCACGGCACTTCCACCCCTCAGTGCTACGCCGCACCGGGGAGCCCCAGGCCTCCCCACCGTGCCTTTTCCCTGGCTCGGGCTGTGCTGCACCCACCTCTCGAAGGCGATGTTCTTGGTGTCGAGCTGCGTGGTGACGACGGGCGCCGTGAGCCGCCCCATCACCTGCTCCTCGGTGGGCTGCACGGCAGCCAGCAGCACCTCGTGGTCGTGACTGGCCAGGGCCAGCGTCTCGGAGTACACCACGCGCCGGTCGTGGTCGATCTCCATCACCACCGCGCTGGTGTCTGGGGGAGCAGGGGGCTGCGGTCAGGCACGAGCGGTGGGGGTGCCCGGCTGGGTGGGCACGTGCAGGGCTGGGTGCATGCATGGGAGACGCGCATGCAAGGCAGGGTGAGGGGCTGCGTGTGCACACGTGCAAGGGCGTGCCAGGGGCTAGCACGGGGGCGGGCACCCATGCTGCTCTCCATCCCGGTGCCACGGTGCTTTGCTCTTGCTTGCCCAGCTCCGGGCTCCCGCCCAGCCCCGCAGGCTCTGCCCGCCGGCTCCTGACTGGCGACACCGGTCCGGGACCCTGCGCCCGGCTCCGTGAGGGTGAGCGCCCGCGCCCCGGCCAGCGCTGTGGGGAGGGGGGCAGCACCCGGCCCCACACTGACCTTGTCCCCGGAAGACGAAGCTGCGGTTGCCCCGCTGCCAGGTCATGTGGTCAAAGCCCAGCAGGGTGGTGTCCACGCGCAGGTTCTGGCCACACTTCCACACCTTGTAGGTGTCGCTGGGGCAGATCTTGGAGACCAGGGGCACTGGGGGAGTGGCAGCGTTAGGGGGCGGGAAGGGGCTGCCCCCAGGCCCCGGCGTGCAGGCGGCGTCGCAGGTTCAGGGGCGCAGGGGCTGACGGAGGAACGGACGGACGGGCAGGCAGGGACGGGGCAGGGGCAGCTGGCTGGCAGCATGGGGGGGTCCCTGGGGGAGCTGCCCAGATCAACCCCCTTACTCACCCCAGCTGGTGAATTCCCATTTCATCTCCACGTAGAAGTCCTGGGCCTGGAGGGAGGAGAGCGGGCAGGTGAGAGGGGCCCGTGCCAGCCCCGTCCGGCCGCCAGGCTGGGTACAGGGGTGGGGTGGGGTGGGGTGGGGGGCACCCATACCTTGCGCAGCTTCTCCAGCAGGATGGGGATGCCCGCCAGGCGCTTGACGGCTCTCTGGTAATCGCGGTAACGCAGGATCAG